ACGGAAAATTTAACTCACGAAGCACACTCAAGTCAAGTCAGTGTTAACATTGTGGAGTTTGTTTCATTCATTTTGTTACAAGTACCAAGTCAATTGACTTATTGGTAAATTCATGTTATGATACACACTCTATTTCAGTATGGTATCTAATTTGTTTTCTTTTCCAAAAAAAGGAATGATGTTGCATGCATGATTAATGATCACACGCCTTCTGGTAGCTTGATCCCGCATTGTATGCTGGGACGACAAGATGGCGATATGCTATGTACAACACGAGCTAATAAAGTGTGTTAATGAAAAACATATTGTACCCTAGAAGTTACAACATAAAACTAGATTTGAACTTGTCACTGAGGATGAGTTAGGTTATCCGCCGCACTTTGACCCTCAAATTTTTAAATGCTGAAAATGGCCAAAAGTATTATACTAATTGAGATTTTAAAAAAAAGTATTTGGAGCATTTCAAAAGATGTCATGACGCATGTGCGCATGGTAATGTCACAAAATGTTGTCTCCTGAAGTGAGATATATGTATCAACTCTCATTGACAAATGCCTGTTGGTGAGGAACTTATTATCATTCATAATATTTATCATGTATAAAAATTCAGTTTTTTGAATTCAGATGGCAATATGATGACGTCATAATGTCTGATCAGCCATAATTTCTAGCTTCTGCATGTGCTGCGCGCGTAAAAAAATGCGCGCATGTGGTGAAAAATGTCAAAAATTTTGAAATGCTCAAAATGCCCTGAAACGTGCTCTAATTTATTCAGAGAGTGATTTTAAAAATTGGATGCACGCGTGCGCATGTGTTATGACGCGCACGCAAAATATTTTGGTACGTTGCATTCAAACTTGACCTGAAGTTTATGCCCACTAAATATGATTTACAAATGTCAATTGGTTAGCAAGTTATAAAAAATAATGTAAAAACGCAAAACTGCGCGTAGATGACGTCACGCATGACTGAGCACATTGAAAAGCTTATTGTGACTATTCCATGCCGAGCCAAATGTTTGTTGAAGAGCGCATGTACGTAGCTCGTGCCATTTTTGAGATATCGTGCAAACAGAAATCGGGAGAAAGGAAAAAAAATCTCTGACAATAACAAGAGGTGATCCGTTAGAAGCAACAAGCAAGTATTCTGTGTAATAAAAAATTGTCCGCATATGATATTCAATGCTAAATAAAATTCTCTGAATACTAATTTGAGTTTTAAATGTATCAAATTGCTTAGTAACAATTTAAAGTTAAATATTTTAAAAGGTTTTTTTTAATGATATTTGACTAATATTATTTCCTGCTTTTCAACAACCTCAGGAAATATTGACATTTTAAACTTGATAGAAATATGGAGGAAATTGAAAAACATCTGACAGGAAAAGACAAATGCAAGAACATGAGATGGAAGTAGATGAGTATTCAGCTGGAAAAGGGGTTGGAAATTGGCTGGAAAGGGTTCAGTCAAGCCTGGGGGTGCGCAGTGGGGCCAATTAAGCACAGACGTGGGAAAAGGGGGGTTGAACGATTAGAGAAGTTTTGAGGAAGAGGAATTGAAGAAAATTGAAGAGACATATATTTAAGGAAGGCGTTTACCTAGAGATGATTACTCAAGTAAATACCCCCTTGTTTCACTGGTAATGCAGATTACCAGTGGTAGATCCATGAAGGAACTTATTTTCCCCCCCATCCCTCCCAGCAGCTGGGAAAAGGACTAAGAAAAAATGGAAAATGGCTAAAGAATTGGAAAATATTTAATATTTATAGAATATTGAAAGGCAATGAGTAACCGGCCTATCATGAAGACACATAGTTATAAGTAGCAATTTCTGGAAAAGCTAATACCAAAAAATGTGTCATGGCTGCCCATACAATAAAATTCACATTAAACGTTATAGTAACAAAATCAGGTTTCATTTATTGCTGTAAGTCAAGCCACTACTACTACTACTACTGTGCTAATAAAAATATTATACCAAAATATGCCCTCCTTACTTGAGACTGTGTCATCTTTTGAGCATTCCAATGACCTTTAAGGTCTTAGTCGGTAACTATCTATGGTCAGGTCAATATGTGGATCTTACAATTCGAGCAGCTTGTGTATCTTGTCTGCCTCACAAATTATCATAGCAACATGACTGGAATGGCTGGCTTAGGATGTTTAATTTTCAGTTTGATTATTAGGATTAATCTTCCTCCATGGATTAATGTAGATTAGATTATCACATGGTATACTGACATCTATAGCTCTGTCTAAGTTATCAAAATTTTCTTTGACCAAAAGCTGTTATATACCCATATATAGTCATGATATGTCTATATATGGTCATGATGTGATGTCATCATGACCATATTTAGGCATGTCACATGGTTTTTGTTAGTGTGAACAGGGCATAACAGTGCACTCCTCCCATTTACATTCGCACTCCTCCCATTTACATTCTCAAGATTAAAGTAAATAATGATGACGATGATGAAAATGATAATGACGATGATAATGATAATGGTAATAAAAATAATGATGATGATAATGTTTATTATAAAGTATTTACATCTTTGAAAAAGCTGGCATTCAATCAACTAATTACACAGATTTTAAATGTGCTGATTAAAAATCAATTTGATGGAATCAGGCAGTTATTCCAATCCTGGATTCTGAAGAATATTAAAAAGTGGAAATGATCATGCCTCTGGCTTTGGAACATTAAAATTAAATACACTACCACTTGTATTATAATAATAAGGAAGATCAGATTATTTAATATAGTTATTTTGTATTCAGTGCAGCTCCCATTAAAAATCTTCAACATACGATTTAATCGAAGCTGAGATGCTCAACAACAATTATTCAGCACATCAATATTAACAGTACCAGATCCAGAAATTCAAAATATAGGGGGCCCAGGGAAGGATTATCACAGATGTATAGTGTAGACCACCTCAGCACCACCATGGAATAGTTCGCTAGATAGACGGCGCATTATAAATGCTGTTTTATTATTATTATTATTATGGTTGGGGCTGAGGTAAGAACATTTATGATTATGGCACTTCTAGATGGCCAGAAATAGCACTCTCAAACATAAATTTAATTATAATTTTCCTTTTTTCTCCATTTGTTTTATGATTTTTAAAAATTTAGGGAGGGCACGGGCTGACTCTCCCCCTCCCCCCACTTCAATCTGCCAATGATTAACATAAATATTAGTACTGATGTGATATCTGGTACCTCTATTTAGAATAAATGTAATTGTTGAATTTTGAGCTACCTAAAGCCTTTAAAAAAAAGCAAAAAAAAACTTGAAGAAATCCCACAATACCAGGATGAAAAACGAATAATCAAATGACAAGGGTGTCCAGAATCCCACAAGTCGAAAGTGTCCTGGAAACGGGGACAATCTCACACACTTCTGCAAGCAAGCAAAAATCTCCCAGAAAACAATAACCCATATTCCGCAAATTCATAACATTTGCATATTTTTACTAGTTTATTATCAAATATTTTCGCGGAAGTCAATGCTGATGGCTAACACTATGTGCAACAAAATAAGAAGTTCATCAGGAAGTGACTCCTTCCAAGCTGGGGCCCCTGCAATCGATGATGGCCGAACAAATTGTTTAGTTAACCTTAAGCTGTCGAGATTATCAATTATTTTTTGTTGTATGCCCCTATATAGTCATGACGTGCCTATATATGGCCAAGGTGTGATGTCATCATGACCATATTTAGGCATGTCACATGTGTTTTGTCAAATATGATTTGATAGTCTGGACAGGGCCTTAGAATAAAAACACTAAGCTTGTCTATACAAAAATATTAAACTGGTATTTACTTTCTTTAAACTGTAAGGATGAGAGTGATGATAATAATGATGGTGGTGGGAATGATAATGATGATGACAATAAAAATGATGATGATGGTGACAATAAAAATGATAATGATGGTGACAATAAAAATGATAATGATGGTGACAATAAAAATGATGATGGTGACAATAAAAACGATGATGATGACAATAAAAATGATGATGGCGAGAAAAAATATGATAATGATGGTGACAATAAAAATGATAATGATAATGACAATAAAAATGATGATGGCGAGGAAAAAAATGATGATGGTGACAATAAAAATGATAATTGATGACAATAAAAATGATGATGATGGAGACAATAAAAATGATGATGATGGTGACAATAAAAATGATAATGATGGTGGTAGTGTCAGGACCATGGGTATCAAAAAGTGCAATCTGATATTTGGTCAGGTCCCGAAACACCATCATGAGTAGTTTGATGATAATCAAATTGAATTATTTTCCCAGAAAAAAAAAAATTCTCATCAATCAATTAAAGTGAATAATACAATGAATGAACACATGCTGCCTTCCTTTTACAATCTGTCAAAAATGAAAATTGCTAACAACAAATTTTCGCTTTACACATTAAAATATATAAATAAAGGCAGTCAAACCAGAAAAAAGTAATAGGCTTAAACTCAGAGACTCAGCATGTCTTTTGTGGGTAGGGCAAACTAACACTAATGAAACATACTTCACAGGAACACCATCCCATTCCAATCCCAGATTGTACCTGGAACAACCCACTTGAGAAAGGAAAATCAACAATTTGGAAATTAAATTATTTGAAAAAGTTAATTTTTTCCCATTTTTTAAACATAGAGATAGTAACTATGGTATTTATGCTACATAAATGAACACAATAAAGGTAAGTTGTAGATTGAACAGAAAATGCATTTTGAAAAACCAAAAAATTAGTTGTAAAAGTTATAAAAAAAGTTCAGTAAATGTGTTAGTTGTTACATAATAACTTCCTTAAAGTTTAAAGTTCTGGTTGTGTTGTAATGAAATCAGCTAACTAAAGACAACAAAAGGAAGGATGCTTTAGCTATCTCTCATAGAGGAAGTGCTAACGGAAGTGGTTTCATCGGAAATTTCGATTGACCTCCCGGTTCCTTTCTTTATCTCCCCTCTAAGACCAATCCTTTACCAGTTGTCTTAGAATTGTGCACAAACGCAGACACAAAAATCCTTCCATCTGGCATTGGTTTCGCATCTACATGGAAAAGTATCATGGTGGGAATATTGGTCTAAACGACTCAACAATCTGTCGGACTAACAGAACTCTTCATTTTATGTGGATTTATTAAAAACAGGCAAACAAAAGGTAGGCATACACTAATTACATTAATCAAGTCTATATAAAAACATACTTTATTTATCATTTCAATAATATAGAGGATTTGATAGTTTAAATGATTGATTTAAAATGTTGATTTAGTATAGAGCATTTTAGATATAGACTGATACACTTTCTGGTTTAATAAGTTCATAAAAATTCACGGTTTGATAACACAATGACAAACATTAATGAAAAAAAGCACTAGCGTCATATTCAATACTTGCTATCATTGCTTATTAAGTAATCCTTGATTAATCATAAAGTCAAATGGGAACTATACTGTTAAAGACAGTGAAATAAAATGGATTGGATACATGAATTAGCATTATCAAGAGTGATAAATTACAAATTGAAATGCTTTATAAAAGGAGTTGTTTATGTTATGTCAAACCTCTCTACAACAGTGTTCTGATAAATTTAACATTTCAATCGGTGGATTGAAATTGCTTGGTGGTGGAAGTGGCGATTGGGGACCTAAGGGCTATTGGGACCTAGGGGGTAGAACCTATAGCCAAGAGAGGAAGGTTTTAGGCGGATTCAAGGAGGCCTAGCTGGCACCCTCTCCTCCCACCAATTTTTCAAAACAAATGGAGGAAAATAGAAAATTATATTAAAAATTTAATTTAAAATAAAGTCAGAGTGTCATTTAGTGGTGCCATAAACGTAATTTTTCTTAACTCAGCCCAACCACGCTTTGGTTGGAATGGCTGGACACTCCATGTAAAACTCCCTCCCTCTATTTAAAATTACTGGACCTGTCACTAAATGTTTTGTACATTTTGTATCTCAAAAAAAAAAAAAAATTTAGTTGAATGGAGCTGTAGTTTGGCGGTAAACATGCTTGCTTCCTGAAGTCCTGGGTTCAAATTCTGTAATCCTAAGCTTCAGAATGTGACTTAGTTAACAGAACAACAGCGGCGGTTCAAGAGATTCTTCCCAAGTACCTGACGAAAAGTCCAAAACCCTAACAAAGAGACTATGTCAGTCTTGCCATGCTTAAAGCAAATTTATAGAACAGATACTCTAAATGCCCCGAAATGGACTCACAGCCTACAGAAATGCTTTTTCAAAACAGAATTCCCGACCAAATGATGGATTCAACGGGGTCCTGGGTATCCCGAAAAGACTTCATGTGTACCCTAAAGCCCTAGCTGGGGCCACCACTTCTAGAAGATAGTTTCCATTTTGTAAAGCCAAGCCAAATAATGCAAAATAAAAATCCCCACACTTTGATATCATGTAATTTTGCAGAGCATTTTTTTTTTTTCAACAGTAACAAGATGTATCTGTCATATGGAATACTTATCACATTTTCTGGATTGATCATATTTTCCAAAGTGAATCTGGCATGCACGAGTGAATCAAGCGACGATTTACCACAAAACGATGCCACTACCCAACACCATAACGCAATAACTGGATTCTTTGTCATTATCCTTGTTTTGTGCATCCTGGTTGTTCTCCTCGTCATTATCGGTTTATGCTACTTCTTTAGGAAACGAAATGACAATTTGATGGACAATCTCGATTTAGCATACACTCATTCGGAAGAGAGTTTTCGCATGTCTGTAAAGGCCCAGCAAGAAAAGTCATGTTCAACAATTTGCCTTCCAGAACCATTGCCTAAAGTTCGCTCGCAAAGCTGCAGTGATTTTGCACCACGGGATGATCCTCTTAGACAATCCTTTAGACTTCCAACGAAGAAGCCAAATATCAATATAATTATTGGTGAAGAAGCCAGACACTGTTCACCGTATCCAGTTCCAGAAAAAATGTCAAGAAGGAACACAATAGGGAGTTCCGCTCGCTCGACATTCACTCCCAGAGAAGATACATTCCAGTGTCCAAAGAGGGTTTCCACGAATCCTTTTCAACGACAGATGTCGCTTCCTGTTTCTGTCCGCTCGGAATCCAGAGTCCAAAGAAACCCACTTTACGAGAATTCTCAAAGTTGCCCGTTCACGTAATTTACATTTACACTCTTAAGAAACTGGGAAATTTCTCAGGTGGCATAAAAATTGGGCACAAGTCACAAACATTTAAGAGACTTTCTGGCAACCTTTTTGGAAAGTAAAATATTGTGAAAATCTTGTACCTAAGGCCATTTATCCTCTACCAAGATAAAAATTTTGCTTGGGAATTTTTGATCTTAATTTCAATATTTACAAATTTATGTAATAATAATAATATTATTAATAATGAGAAAAACCCAATAATAAAATTATTTTCAGAGAGAGCGTATTCATAAATCATTCCAAATCTATTTGATATGTACATTTATGTATAAAGTTAATTACAGTAATAGAATAAGAACTTTATTCAATTCAAAGTATCGTTTTAATACTAGTAACGTAAAAAAATGTGCACTGCTTTGAAATGTAATTTAAATTATATAAGAGTGCTCGTTGAAATTGCTAAGTTTGCTGCCAATAGAAGATCTTCCTAATCCTATGCAAAAACAAGGAGATCTAATATAGTCGATTATTATCAAAGTTTGTAAAAATAGGTATTAGATTGTTACCTTTCAAGTTTATGAATTTCACATAAGATGCAAGTGTCTTTCTTAACATAAGTTGTGATACCCCTCCCCTTTCAGATTCCCCATTTATTCTGGGCCAAATGTGTACATAATTACCATCTCTTTACAGTTGGACAATATACTCTAAGCTACAGTAGTTAATATGCAAGTCTGTATTTATAATTCATGGGATTAGCTTACATCTGTCTAATACCTCATTCGCTCGACAGAAAATGTACTATCTGTTCAGATATTTCTCTACCAAGATAAGTCGCTTTTCACACTCCTATTATACCATCCTTGCTAAAAATTTGGCACAATTAATACACAGAGAGTGAAGGCACACGCAACACTAAAGATAAACTGTGCCCTGTTACCATGCCAACAGATTGCTTCCTATATTTCTTGGGAACTTTTCAGGCCTTTGTGAGATATGTTTTCAGACCAATATATCCTTGGTATTCTTAGGAGGACATGCACTCTTACGAGTGAAATACACTTGCTGGAAAAATATCCTAGGTACAATTTGTTAATATTTAGTACGTTTCTGTTGTGTGAATTAAGTATTATTATTCATATGCAGATGTATTAAACCTAACAATTTTGATTTAACATGTAACAGTTTGTAGTATATTGTTTATTGTTTGGAAACTTGTGGAATTTAAAATACTTACCACATCTAACGTGTCATGGTTAAATTTGATTAATACTTTACTATAAGTATTAAACACCATGTATATATTATATGTATAATATAAGATATAACTGCCAAATAAATCAAATAAGCTTGAAAATTAAAAAAAATAGAATTAAATTGCTTACGCATATTATATCACTCAACTAAACCTATTATAAATAAACAAATTTGCCTACCAATTAACATGCATTTAGTTAAAACTATTTGTATAGTCTTTGCCTTGCATTTCTACCAGAAAATTCTAGAATGTTTATAATAATACATCATTGAAAATGGATTGTGTTTTTATATGTGACTTACATTGGAAGTTGATAATCTATGTAATTTTAGTATCATTTAAGCAATTTAAATTTATTTTAAGACTTTTTTCTCAATTTTTTGAGTGGCAGTATACCTACATGCATGCACAGTGGCGGCAAGAGGATTTCCCCAACGAGGAGTCCAAGACCCTAGGCAAGAAATTCAGTTTCCCTGGAGAGAGGTCCAATTTCCCCAACAGGAGTCTAAAATAATTGACCACCAACATTGTGCGAATATACTCATATGAAGTTTATGCACATTATAGATTGATGATGATGATGATGATCGAAATCACCTTAATTCCACAATGATTAGAGCAAAAAATTTAAGAATAAGCACCTCTAAATGTCACAGAAATGGCACTCTCAGAATATTAAAAATACCTTTTTTTTTTAAAGCAAAAGGCTAAATAATTAGCTTCTTTCCCCTACAGGTGGTCCTAGGTTAATCAAAGGGAGACCTGTGCCCCCTGGAACTTAGTGCTGCAACTGTGTATGCATATATTATACATAATTCCAAACATTTACAAAATACATAATTTATTTCATTTGCCAATAATTCTTGCTAAGACAAACTAATTTGTATATTGCATAAAAAATCATTAAATATTTGTAAACTAGCATCAGTTGTTCTTTATGAAATATCAAAAGTAAATAAAAAAATATATCAGAAAATACTGAATGGCAATTAAGTGTTTATTTAAACATTTTTCACAACTTTTTAATCGATGTTGACCAACTGCGAATTTGATTAAACATGTTATTTCTAAAGTAGAACACAGGAGATGGTATCCAGCTAACTGAATAAATAATTTCGTTAATTATATATAAAGACGAATGGATGTTGGAAGGTTTAAGACAGCACATTAACATCCACTAAAAGCTCTATATTACTAAGATTGTATTATATTACATATATAAAGATTTTTCTACCATGGATAAACTAAAAACTACACAAAAAACTGGTGCCAGTAGACTCTTAAAAAATTAAACTCAATTCTAATGGGGCCCACATAACACAATTAAAGGGCATAAGTTTGGACAAATAAACCCAAACATACTAGTCATCATTAATATTTCTATTACAGACTTTCTGAATCACATAACTTGTTAGGGTCTTTAAAAAAAAAAAACAAAAAAAAACCCCAATTTTTTTAAGAGATTAGATTTCTGTTTTAAGGACATTCAAAGCTATATTTAGTGAACACAATTGTTTAAAATACTGTATCATTTATAATTAATGATTAATATAACTAGTTAATTATTGACAATTAAACAAATAATATAATGTAACATATCAAATCAAAATAAGAATTAACAATATGACTAGACACAATTATCTCATTTTTAATATGACTTCTAACAATGCAATAATTAAAGCAGATTTTTAGAAAGGGCAGGACTTTACAAAAAATACAACTTTTATTTTTTTTACTCTGTACAACACAAAAAAAACCCCCCTTGAAACTAAAATTAATAAAATGTTCTCTAAATGTTGCCAAATTAAAACAAAAGACATTTTGGAGTTATAAATAGCCCAATAAACAAGTTTCCACCTGTGATATATTTAGAAGATTTAAACAGGGAATATATATTAATTTTCTTATATCAACTGAACAACAGGGAGTACAATGGGCTCCAGACATAAATAATTGTTTTCATTTGCACTCGGCAGCGAGGCCAAATTGCATCACTTCCGCGGCTCAATATGGAATAGTGTGTCGGCTCGTAAGCTTAATCCTAATTTCTGGTATCTTTAAAAAAGTGAACTGATTGGAATTCCATCTGCTGATAAGATAAATGCAAGGAATAAAGAGCACATATTGGCATAGTAAAACACTGGTTCATTTCTTCTACAAATTTACTACATACAGTAGTAGATTCCTATACTGAATTCAGACCAGAATTATAAATGATACAAAAATATGTATCCAATGCCAATGTTTGTTTTGAGATATCGCATTGATTCACCATTTACTATCACTAATAAAATGTCGGTTTGGGAATATTTATCTTTATAAAACGTTCCAAATAATATACTTGTAAAATATCCTTGAAAGCATTTTTTTTTTCAGTTTATCATAATTATCATCATTATGAAGCGTTTAACGACCTCTAAGTCAATATTTCTTTGCACGCGATTCTGAGTAGAGCGAAAACCTTTTTTCCAACTATAGTATAATAACGTATCTAGTCTTCAAAGCATTCATCTAAATACAATTACGAATCTTCTACTGAATTAACGGAAGTAAAGCATTCAAATTCAAACATAACAGAAAAATACGCTACAACGATTTTTTATTTTTGGAAGGTTAAACACACAGCAATGGTATATATCACTAACATTTATGGTAATATTGTTGTAAAGTGCAAGAATGCTGACATTTTTTTTTTTTTTTTGCATTTGTTGGTGCAATAAACAATTTAAGGTAAACTAAACAATTTTAATCTGGATCAAAAACGTTTGTACAAATTCATGTTCACTATCAAAATACAATTGTGCTAAAAAGTAATTAAACTTGTTTTCTTTACTATTCAACTAAAACAGATTATTCTTGTTTACTGTAACGTTTCATGAATAGCGAAGGCAAAATATTTTCCATCACACACCCTAGATGACACAGCTTTAAGGTGTCACGTGCAGCTCGTATAAAGGTCACCACGATACGCATTCATGAATCACAAGCCGAGACAAATGCAAGAAAATGGCCGTCACCTTAAATAACAACGATCTTCATCTACATTAAATTAAATATAAACAAAAACAAAATGATAACTACAGTACGTAAATATGGCTATTATACATCTTCATTCTATATGTTAGGAAGCAACCTTAAATTTAATATCTTTTTGTTCTTTTATTCACGATTTCTTTGTCTAAAAAGTAATCTTAAGTTTAACACCTGTTTAGTAGGTTAACTAGTTACAAGATTAGTTTATCTAACCCTCAATCCAACAAGGTAACAGTTTCTGACAGGCCTTCACTGGCAATGAACACATGAAATGTTTTATAGATCTTACAATCCCTATTAATAGGTTCCCTAAGGGGCCATCCATAATTTCATCATTTTCAAAAGAGTACAAAACATACACTTTAGGGCGGTGGGGGAAGGGGTTTGAAAGTATAGGCATATGTACTCTTTAATGAAAAAAATGAAATGACCTCAAAATTACAAAATTCAAGTTACTACAGTATACTGTTTCAGGGGTGGGGAGAAGGTAACAGAAAAGAGTATGTTTTATACTCATATGAAAATGATGAAATAATGGATGGTTCTTGAGTTCACTAACAATACAATGAAATAAATGAAAATTTACTTTTTAATACATTCTTATTCTCCACTTTTGTAAGCTTCAAAATGATGGGTCATTCGCTGGAATCGACTTTCTATTGCTAAAGCTGGAGTAAAAGTATTACAGCTTCTCTATACTGAAGTATACAATACTGCCACTTATGCAGTTTAACTTTTAGGGACAGTACTCTGGTTTTGGGATGGCAGATAATGCTGATGATGATCAAGATAATGATGGTGAAGATAACAATGATGATAAATATGAATATGATATGATGACGATGATGATAATGTTGATGATGATCAAGTTAATGATGGTGAAGATAACAATGATGATAAATATGAATATGATATGATGACAATGATGATAATGTTGATGATCAATATAATGATGATGAAGATAACAATGATGATAAATATGAATATGATATGATGACGATGATGATAATGTTGATGATGATCAATATAATGATGATGAAGATAACAATGATGATAAATATGAATGTGATATGATGACGATGTTTATGATAATCAAGATAATGAAGGTGAAGTTAACAATGATAAATATGAATATGATATGATGACGATGATGATAATGTTGTTGATGATAAAGATAATGATGATGATGCACATAACAATGATAAATATGAATATGTATATGACGATGATCGATAAAGTAATGATGATGATGAAGATAATGATAAATATGAATATGAATATGTATATGATGATGATAATGATGATGAAAAAGTATAATGATGATGATAAATATGCATATGTATATTATGATGATGATGACAATTTTGATGATGATCATAAAGATAATGATGATGAATGTTGATGATGATAAAGATAATGTTGATGACGACAATGACGATAATAAATATGAATATGTGTATTATGATGATGATGATGATGATAATGATAAAGATGATGATGATGATGATAAAGATAATGATGATGATAATAAATATAAATATGTATATTTATACCTTTGATCAACATGACAATACCTTAAAGACATTTCATGTCTTGTATGAGTGTTTCATTATTAGTTCTTCCATTCAACTTCCATCAGAATATACATAACCAATAAGTCCAATTCATGTTCATATAAATTCAATAAAAGTTGTGTAATAAGACCTGTCACAGAGTATCCATTTACTACACATAAAATCATTCCATTCAGTTATACACTTATTTATTTTATATCAATTTATAAAACAGCAAATTGAAAAATCTTACCAGAAATATAATCCAATAAATAGTAACAAATTTTTTGAAGCTAAAAGCCATGTTCCTACATCATCTTAAGCTATATTTCTTCAAAAAAAAAAAAAAAAAAAAAAAAATCAGCACATTTTAATTGGTACGTATATTCCATTTTTTAAAACAACAATCAGGATTTTAATATATACTTTTTGGGGGCAGGGAGATGGAATTCTGAAAAGAACATGCTTTGTACGTATGTATGAGTACAAAGCACAGGTGTACTGTTATAGTGAGTATACTAATATTTGATATTTTTAGATAATTTACTAGAGTATAAACATGTGGTAATTTATTCGTAACTAGAATTTTAACATATGAAATATTTTTTATTTCCACTAAATTACAATAAACGCAGGTGAGTAAATAAAATAAAGCTTAACAATAATTCAACATGCATTATATTACATTAATTTGTTTAAAGAATTATTACGGCGGAATCTCGCAATCGCTCGATTTTTTTTTTTAATTATCTTTTTTTAGCCGCAAAGGGCCAAGGATACTTTATGCCAAACAGCGAATTTAATCACGTTTCTATATGGAAATTCCCTTCACTAATAATAATACTGACACTGAGTTGAGTTGTTTTTGGTTGTGAGAAAAAAATTTTGTTAACGTGACATGAATTGAACCCACGACACTGGGGTTGGAATGCAAGCATCTTAACCACAAAGCCATTCAAGTCCACTCCATTTTGTTTCTTTAAGCACCACTTATGTTCAGGCAAGTAGTGGCAGAAAAATATTTATTAGTTTGGGTCTGGGTACCCCGTGGTTGTTCAAAATTAAACCTACAAAGAAATC